AAAACACCACTTAGTTCATTTAAAGCACTGCAAAACTGACCGCTTGCATGCAAAAATTCAAATTCTTCTATGCAGTAGTTGCCGACATTCGAATACTTTTTTGACAGAACCAAGCTTTGCCTAAGCCAAGCACTGACCAGCCCAAAGGAACACTACCCAATTTAATCACCGCATATTACACAATGTAGCAGCTCAACAGACATGGAAGTCAGTTAATTGGTAGCGACACACCTGACTACACACTTCGCCATTCACAAATCTTATATGAGATCGAAGTTTTTTGAAAAAAGAACGGATTTTTACCTAGGCATACCTTCGAAACTGAAATATTCCATATTAAATGTCAAGTCTGTACATGTATCATTCACTTATTTTCCAAATATGATATTAAAACTGTATAAATGGAATAAAAAAGCTTATCGTTCATGTACGTCTGACATTATTTTATGCTATCACATGCTTTGATGCTAAATAATTATACATGAAAACGTGAAATATTTTTATGACACTTACAAAACAGATTCAAATTAAAACTTGCTGTCCCAGTGCTGTCTTGTATTGCACTAGTAGACACTTCACATGAATACTCTGCTATATCACCTGGACACTGTAATCCTGTTAATGTAATTGATGTTCTGGTACTTGTAGAGGTTAGAGTGTCAAGTGTTACACGATATCTCACACTTGCTTCTGGATATTGTGGTGTAAAATTAGGTGTGAAAGCAGTTGCTAATACTGTAGAGCCTTTTCTCCAATTTACTTTCAGAATTACAAATCCAGCGGGCGGTGTCCACTGACATGTCAACGTGGTTGGTGATCCTGCTCGAATATACGTCTGTCCAGATTTTGTCACGTCAAACGAAATAACTGGAAAAGAATTCATTTTATTTTTCTCAATATCAACAAAAAGGTACGTTCTACCCCCGATATTAAAGAAAAAAATAGCAAACGATCTCGGATGCGACCGTTGTGACAGAAATAGTTGTCCGCTAGGAATCGCGTTCTGTGTAAATTGCACCTTGGAATATTTGGCATGCGAAGCCTCCGTTTTCCAGATAACGTATCTAACTCATAAATTCCACGTAAATTTTACCTTGGTGGCAGCAAACCAGGTAGGCCCACAGTGCCCGCACAATATTATGTAGTTTGTCGCCCATTTTGAACGCTGCGTGTCAGCTGAGCTCCACTTTGTCCTCAAACTGTACTACTTCCGTGTTTTATCACTCACCTAACGACAGCGTGATTGTTTAGAAAACATTGATAAGGTTTGACATGAAGTCAACTGTCACACTGAGCTTATCGTTATGACTTTTGGTGAAGTTAGTCTAGGACTGTGTTGATATCAACGTAAATGTTATTCTCAGACTCACAATATTACACCTTAAGCCCGAACATCAGCTGGAGTGGATTTTTTTTTACAGGGTTATGTCTTTGTGAATTTTTGCTTTTCCACAAACTGACCTATTTTAAAAAGTCGGTTTGTATCCCCTTGGATATTTACACCAGTCCGGTTTTTAATTTGCTGTACTAGAAAGCATCCGAGAGAGCCTATAACAAAGTTTGATATTATCACAAGAAATTCCCTCAGCCATTCTTACTATGAAATCATTTGACGAGATGTGCGTTTCCTTTCATGGTTTTTATCTGTTTTACATTGATGTGCAATTTTGGCTAAAAAATATCTTTAAAGAGAACATACATAATAGAAGAATAAGCAATGTTAAATGGAACGTAATTTAGGGCACGTGTCTCCTAAACCAAAATGAAAACCAACTGCTGGCACCAGATTGTAATTCACAATCAATTCTTGGACAATGCTTAATTTTGTGCTAAAATTCAACTTAGTTACTACCAGAAAAACGGGTCATGTGAAAGTGTGTTATATCGCTTGAATGTCGAAAATTGCACAAATTTAAGTGAGCTTATCCTTTAACCGAGTTGCTCTGTGCACAAACAGCACGAAAAAAAACTTTACAGATAAATTTTGTTACTTAGTTTGGAACCTTAGATATTTCCATTTCTTGAACTTGATGTGGTCATTCTACATTATCGTTTTCTCACTGCTGAACTTCTTAAAACCCTTAAGACATAGAAAAACATCGCAAAGAAATGCATATTAATTGCGAAGGTTATTAAGTCCAGCTTTTAGCCCAAAAGATAAACATTATTGTGAAAAGCAGGACTGTATAGTCGGGATATCTAAATGTCCTCATCAAAGACAAGGGGTCAAGTAAACACAAATCTAACAGATAGAAAAGATTCATACTAGGTTTTATTTCTGGATCATATATCGCCTAACTGAGATTCTACCTGTTGATACAGGGGTAGCAGGAAAAGTCGAGATTACATTTGCCATGCAGGTCATGTAGAAAAAAAATCAGTTTTTCTGTTGAAAAGAAATCCTACGGAACCCTTTCAGTCTCAATGCAGGTGCCGTAAGCCTTCCTCTTGGTACAGCCCTCTACGATTTTTTCCTCCATGTTGTCAGAATAAGGCAACTGTGAATAACACTTAATTTTAAGAGAAAGAGACCAATGTTAAGTTCAACGGTAATTCCACCGAACATGTACAATTACCACAAGTCCACCAAACAATGCCCTCACGGGAACTGTGCAATGCCATCTATGATAATGATACGGCCTACGAGTTTACGATTTTTTAATTTTGTCATAAGTTTAAGCTTGAAAAAATCATAGAGGCCACGGAGGCCGTGTATCTATTTTTAGCATTTGAGCTCATATAAAAACAGTTCTAGTTTTCGACAAAATCATTATCAAAATACGATGTCTTTTCGTTGTTTTGGTAGCTTGGTAGTTTTGACAGATTGTACACCGTTTTAATGTCAGCTGTTAACATCGGCGTTTTGAAATCTGATAATTTTTTTTTCTTTCTAATTCTGTTCACTGTCCGGCCGAGGAATCGACATTCTTTCATCCAGTGAAGAAGATGTTTATGTCGCGTTCGTTTACTGTTCTACACCCTTCTCCTCATTATCTTGGTGGTGTATTGAATGATGTCATCATTCCTTGAAGTGCTGCGTAAGTGTGATCCGGCTGAAATAAACGTGTGGATAAAGAATGAAATATTTTTTCAAGACGGAAGGTGTTTCATGGCAGCTTTTTATCAAATAATAAAAGACCCAAATATACCACGTGTATTTCTCCGTCCAATAAAAGTCAGGAGTCCAACAATAGGACAGTGAGCAAAAGACCAGATGNCATCTTTCCTGAAGTGCTGCGTAAGTGTGATCCGGCTGAAATAAACGTGTGGATAAAGCATTAAATATTTTTTCAATACGGAAGGTGTTTCATGTCAGCTTCCTATTAAATAATAAAAGACCCAAATATGCCACGTGTATTTCTCCGTCCAATAAAAGTCAGGAGTCCAACAATAGGACAGTGAGCAAAGAACCAGATGAATTCAATTTTTTTGGTTTAGTAATACAAAGTAAACACGTGGATTCTATCTACTATACCTCATTAACATCTGGTTTTCTTTCTAGCACGGCGTATTCATTGTTGCCTTCCGTAACATCCACTTCAACAGTGTCTGCAGATTGTCTATTCTTCCAAAATCTATGCAGAATGCCTCTCTACAAAAGGAAAACGTCAATGACACATGTACATTGTACATCCAGTGCATAACAAAATGTGCACACTAGTCTGTTATTTATTTATCTTCTCTTATCTTCTATATATTTTAAAAGATTGCGTTTATGAAACTTTGAGGTTTGAATCATCATAAAATAACCAATGTAATTTTTTTACCAGAAGACTTAAGTGAAATAAAAACATAAATAAAAACGTAATTTTTTCTACTCACATGATAAAGAACAAATAAAGCAACCGCGACTACAAGTGTTATTATCACCGATGCCACAACTGCGCCAGCCAACACGCCTAAGAGATGCAAAATTTTAAAATAAAAAGGCACATTGACGCAAAACAACATCAAATTGAACAACACAACGAAAAGAACATTTTGCATCCAAGTACTCCAAATACGTTTAAAAATATTTGATCCGCTTTATTTGGGGTCAAAGATTAAACACATATTTCCATTCAGCCCCGCCCATTACCTGTGCTATGTAAAACCTCGCCTCCTGTAAGTGTGTCAGTTGCTGACGATGCTACTGCTACTGGTGTCGTTGATGTTGTCCTTGATGTTGTCGTGGATGTTGTTGTTGTTGCAGTAATTTTCTCTATCAAGCATAGGACAACAAGAAATTGGATCAACTGGCTGTAAGTTTAATAAAACAAACGACTTCCATTTTTGACTATGTCATGTTTGTCACTAAATCATCACATTTGCACTTCAAAAAGGAAACGAAATTTCAGCACTTTCCCTTAATAAAAAAGGTATGTCCTGTCCGCAACCGTTTAGACAATTGTTACCATGCTCAAAACGTATTCTGAATTCTAAATTTCTAGACTTACATATGGGCCGTGGATTTCACTCGTGGCAGATTTTTTTTTAGTTGTGAAACATATCACGGTGTGATAAAGGTATGAGCACCTTGGTGACAGGGAAGACCTTGCCTGGATGTCTGGTAACAATGTCTTTGTTCTGCTTTGAGTTTTTTCTCTCAATGCAACAGATGGATACATGTATATCAGCACTAGGGGTCCCTTGGAACTCTGTTTATTAACGAACCCCTTCTTAGACAAAAACCTGGAGATATTTCATACAGCGCGACCCACTTTTCCATGGATTGAATTTTGATATAGCACCTACCTTGTACCGTCACTCTGACAGGTGTTGGAAATGGTGATGTCGTCAAACTATTGGTGGCAAAGCAAGTATACAAAAAGGTTCCAGTATTAGTCAGTGTCAGTATAAGCTGAGAGCCAGTAGAGTTGGTATTATCTGGACTGGTCCACACATAGCTTGGACTTGGATTGCCGCTTGCCTGACAGTTGAGAGTAAATGTTGTTCCCTGTTCAACTGTCCATGTACCAGTGGATGATGTCACCGTTGGCCCCTGTCGCACTGGGTCTGAAAAATGCAATATATTGATATTCAAAAATGTGGATAGAAAAGAAATAAATGTTTGCATAATATAAGATACACAGTTTCACAAAAGGAAAATCTAGCAAAGATGTAACAAATTATAATAAATTAAAGGAAAGATGATAAACAATGTGTAATGTAAGTCTTTTGTTGGTAACACAGATGTAATGATAACCGAAATGTGTATGAATATAAAAACACAGTTTAAACACAAATTTCAAGACGTGATAGAATACTTACATTGTACATCCAGTGTATACCTTCCTTGCTTTGAAGAGTCTCCAGGCACTGCAGAGTTTGGTTCAACGGCACATGTATACGTTACTCTATCATCCTGGTCTGTCGGTGTAATACTCAGAATACTAACTCCATTATAGGTACAACCATCACTATTTATACTTGTCTGCTGAGTAAATCCAGTGGTGATTTCTTGATAGCCTTTGTACCAATTCATGATGCCTGGTGGTTGCCCAATATTACTGGCTGTACAAGTCAGGGAGGCATTCTGATCTGCTTGTAACTGACTTGATGAGGATGTGATCACGATGTCGTTTCCAAGGAAAACTTCAAAAAAAATCGTTTAACAAAACCTTGTTAATTTGGAAAAGGGAAATAAATTAAGTTACTTTCAAAAGGCACTTTGCCAATCGTTCAGAAATTACGAAACGAAACATCAAGCATATTTCATATCGTTACTACAATGTACATGTATCACTCACTGAAATATGTTAACTTATTTTCCAAATATGATATTTAAATCGTATTAATGGAATCAAAAAGCTTATCGCCCATGTACGTCTGACATATTTTTTATGCTATATCAAATGCTTTCATGCTAAATAATTATACATGTAAACGTGATATATTTTACACAACACCTACAAAATAGATTCACGTTGAAACTTGCTGTCCCAGTACTGTCTTGTATTACATTAGTCTGCACCTCGCAGGTATACTCTGCTATATCACCTGGACACTGTAATCCTGTTAATGTTATTGATGTACTGGTACTGGAGGAGGTTAGAGTGCCCAGCGCCACACGGTCTCTTACTCTTGAGACAGGATATTGTGGTGTAAAGTCAGGTGTGATAGCAGCTGCTATCACAGTAGAACCTTGTCTCCAGTTTACTCTGAAAAGACCAATTCCACCTGGTGGCGTCCAATCACATGTCAAAGTAGTTTGTGATCCTGCTCTGATATATGCCTGTCCAGATTTTGTCACGTCAAACGAAAGAACTGAAAGAGAATTTATTTCATATTTTGAAATATCAACAAATCAACACGATCTACCCCCCCCCCCCCATATTAAATAAAAAAAATAGCAACGCGATCTCGGATGCGACCGTTGTGGCAGGAATGGTAGTCCGCTAGGAATCGAATTCCGTTCGCCATATACTAACTCCAATACTCAGACTAACCTATACTAATTATATAGGAGCCCGGACTTCCATTCCTAGGAAAACCATTCCTGTCACACATAGCTTGTTATACAGCTCAGAGAAAGTCCAGCGTACATCGTGGGTAATCCCCCTCTCACTGGAAAGTGGTCCTCAATTCATTAGGAGCTGGAAAGAGGTCTCTAAATGATTTCGATAGTCTTCGCAGCTATATCTCTATGTCTCCGGCATTGTGCGTCAGAAGTCTAGTTTTATAAGTGTATGACACTCGCTGAAGTCTTGCGACCAGTGACCATCGCACCGTTTATGGATGGGTTGCATCCACATGGACTTACACAAAAGAGTTCCGTGTAAAGTCTGTAAACTGCAGTGCCCCTCGTAATATTTGGCAGTAGTTGCCTATATTTGTTACCAGTCGTGTTTCTAGTGCAGCTAACGTATCTACGGCTGTATGTAGCCCTTACGTTGCATGTAAATCTTACCTTGATAGCAGCAAACCAGGTAAACCCACAGTGCCCGCACAATATTATGTAGTTTGTCGCCCATTTTGAACGCTACGTGTTAACTGGCCTTAACTTTGTCCTCGAACTGTATTACTTCCGCGTTTAACCATTCACCTAACGACAGCGTGCTTGTTCAGAAAACTTCGACAAGGTTTGACATGAGGAGGTCAAGTATCACACTTAGCTTATCTTTGTGACTTTTGGTGAAGGTAATTTAGGACAGTGTTGATATCAACGTAAATGTTCTCAAACTCACAATACACCTCAAGTTCGCAAATCAGCTGGGATGGATATTTTTTACAGAGTTATGTCTTCGTTTGTAAATTGGCATATTTTAAAAAGTCGTTTTGTATCCCTTTGTATATAATACCAGTCCGGTTTTTAATCTGCTGTACTAGAAAGCATCCGAGATAGCCTAAAACAAAGTTAGATATCGTCACAAGAAATTCCCTCAGCCATACTCACTATGAAGTCATTTGAAGAGATGTACGTTTCCTTTCGTGGTTTTTATCTGTTTGATGTGTAATTTTGACTAACAAATCTTTAAAGAGGAGTAATATAATAGAAGAATTTGCGATGTTAAATGGAACGTAATTTAGGGCACGTGTCTTCTAAACCAATATTAAAACCAATATTGCTGGCACCAGATTGTAATTCACAACCAAGTATTGGACTAACTTTTGTGCTAGAATTTCACTTAGTCACTACGAGAAAAACGGACCATTTGAAAGTCTGTTATATCGCTTGAAAATAAAAAAATGTGTAAATTTCTGTGAACTTGTCTTTTAAACGAGTTGCTGCGTCCTCCGACATCACGCAAAAATACTTTACAAATAAATGTTTTTACTTGGTTGGGAACCGTAGATATTTGCATTTCTAGAACTTGATGTGGTCATTCTTCATATACGTTTTCTCACTGCTGAACTTCTTAAAACCCTTAAAAGCACAGGACATCTGCAAAGAAATACATAGCGAAGCTTATAAAGTCCAGCTACTTTCCCAAGAGATAAACATTTATTGTGAAAAGCAGGACTATATTGTCAGGATATACAAGAAATGTCCTCACCAAAGATAAAGACATAAGTTTAGATCAAGTAAACACAAATCTGACAGATAGGAGAGATTCATGCTAGGTTTTATTTCTGGATCATTGATTCAACTGAGATTCTACCTGTAGATAGCAGGAAAAGTCTACAAAACACTTGCCGTGTAGGTCATGTAGGAAAAATATCGGTTTTTCGGTTGAAAGGTGATCTTTCTGAACCCTTTTTATTGGGCCTCAATGCAGCTGCCTTCCGTGCGATCGATGCTTTGTCGGTACAGCCTCCTACGGTTTTTTCAACCATGTGGTCCGAATAAGAAAATTGAACTACACTTAATTTTAAGCATTTTAACTATTGTTATGCCCCCCCCCCCTCCTCTCTAAAACAAGCAAAGATGGAAGAGAAAGAAACTAACAACAAGTTCAACCAGTCCATTATCACTATCACTGAAAGTTCCCGTGAGGGCACTGTGCGATGCCATCTACAATAATGATACTGTCTACGAGCTTACGATGTTAAAATACTGTCAAAAGTTTAAGCTTGATAAGATCACAGAGGCTGTGCCCTCTCATTGTGCCCTTTTCACTGTAGTATACTTGGGACTATTTTTGTTTAATATAACCTCAGTAATATCATGAAATAACAACATGAAAGCAAAAGCAAGTGTTTATGCACCTAAATGTGAGTGATAATACCTACAGCTATTTTACCACATAGGCCTACTAATAAAAAAAATACAATTTCTTTTTCACACAAATTACGAACAGGCAGCCTTTGAAATCATTTTGACTGAATAGTCGTCGGACCACGACTATTTTAAACGTTTCAGCTTGTATAAACAGCTCTAGTTTTCGACAAAATCACTATCAACCACTGGCGTGTGATAGTTGGCAATCCTTTCTTTGTAGCTTAGCCTTGTATGTTTTGATAGATAAGAACCCGTTTTAGCGTCAGCTGTTTACATCAGCGTTTTAAAATCTACACATTAATTCTGTTCTTTGTCCGGCCGAGGAATTGACGTTCTTTTCCCCAGCTCTGATGATGTGAATGTCTCATTCGTTAACCGTCCTGCGCACTTCTCATTTTCTTGGTGGTGTATTGAATGACGTCATCCTTCCTTGAAGTGCTGCGTAAGTGTGATCCGGCTGAAATTTGTATAAAAATGAAATATTTTTTGCAAGACGGAAGGTGTTTCATGGCAACTTACTACCAAATAGTAAAAGGCCCAAATATATCACGTATTTCTCCGCAAAACACCAGGCGAAAAGAACTATTTGGCTCTGCACTACAAAGTAAGACACCGTTTTAAATCGAAACAAAACACGTGGATTCTTTCTGCTACCTTGTTGGTATAATTACCTTACTTATAACTTCTTTTCTGTCTAGCACGGCGTATTCATTATTGCTTTCCATAACATCCACTTCAACAGCATCACCTGATTGTCTGTTCTTCCGAAATCTATGCACCATGCTCCTCTACAAACGAAAAATATCAATGATATATCCATTGCATAACAAAATGTACACGCAAGTCTGAACAACTTTTGTTTCAGTTAAGTATCTTCTCTTCAATATATTTAAAAAGATCTCAATAACTTTTGCGCCATCATAAAATAACTCATTTATATTCTTGTCAGAAAACTAAAGTGGAAAAAATAAAACTGTAATTTTTTTCTACTCACATGATAAAGGACAAATAAAGCAACCGCGACCCCAAATGTTATCACAACTGCTGCCACAACTGCGCCAGCCAACACGCCTAAAAGATACAAAATCTTGAAATAAAAAGGCACATTGACGCAAAACAACATCAAATTGAACAACACAACGAAAAGAACATTTTGCATCAAAGTACTCCAAATACGTTTTAAAATATTTGATCCATTGTATTTTGGGTCAAAGATTTAACATATATCTCTATTCAGCCCCACCCATTACCTGTGCTATGTAGACCCTCGCCTCCTGTACATGTAAGTAATTCTGTTGTTGACGATGCTACTGCTACTGGTGTCGTTGATGTTGTCGTTGATGTTGTCGTGGATGTTGTTGTTGTTTTTGTTGTGGTAGTTTTCTCTATCAAGCATAGGACAACAATACATTGGATCAACTGGCTGTAAGTTTAATAAAACAAACGGCTTCCACTTTTGACTAAGTCATGACAGTCACCAAATCATCACATTTTCACTTTAAAATGGAAAGGAAATTTCAGCACCTTGGAACTCTGTTTATCAAGGAACCCCTTAAACACAATGCCAATAACAAAACCCTGGATATATTTCATACAGCGTGACCTATTTTTCTTTGATTTGAATTTTGATATTTAGCACCTACCTTGTACTGTCACTGTGACACGTGTTGGCAATGGTGATGTCGTCAAACTGTTGGTGGCAAAGCAAGTATACACATAAGGTCCAGTAGTGGACAGTGTCAGCACAAGCTGAGAGCCAGTGGTGTTGGTATTATCTGGACTGGTCCACACATAGCTTGGACTTGGATTGCCACTTGCCTGACAGTTGAGAGTAAAAGTTGTTCCCTGCTCAACTGTAAATGTACCAGTGGATGATGTCACCGTTGGCACCTGTGGCACTGGGTCTGAAATATGCAATATATTGATATTTAAAAATGTGGACAGAAAAGAAATAAATGTTCGCATAATATAAGATACACAGTTTCACAAAACGAAAATCTAGCAAAGATGTAACAAATAATAATAAATCAAACGAAAGATGATAGTGTGTAATGTAAGTCTTTTGTGGGTAACACAGATGAAATGATATTCGAAATGTGTATGAATATAAAATAGCAGTTTAAACACAAATTTAGAGACGTGATGGAATAATACTTACATTGTACATCCAGTGTATACCTTCCTTGCTTTGAAGAGTCTCCAATCACTGCAGGGTTTGGCTCAACATAACATGTATACCTAACTCCATTATCCAGGTATGTCGGGGTAATACTAAGAATACTAACTCCATTATAGGTACAACCATCACTATTGATACTTGTCTGCTGAGTAAATCCAGTGGTGATTTCTTGAGAGCCTTTGTACCACTTCATGATGCCTGGTGGTCGCCCAATATTACTGGCTGTACAAGTCAGGGTGGCATGTTGTCCTGTTTGCAACTGACTTGGTGAGGATTTGATCACGATGTCATTTCCAAGGAAAACTTCAGAAAAAAATCGTTTTACAAGACCTTGTTAATTTGAAAAAGCAAAATAAATTAAGTTACTTACTTTCAACGGGCACTTTGCCAATCGTTCATAATTTACAAAACATCAAGCATACTACATACCGTTACTGTAATATACAGACTTGACATTTAATATGGAATATTTTTTTTCCAAGTCATTTTTCATCAGTTTTTTCCTATTTTGCTGACTGATAAATGAAAATAAGGATTCAAATCGTGTTTTAATAATTTTAAATTATCTCCTTGATGTCATGGTGACATCAGCTCATTGGTTGAATTCGACATTGAAGCAAACAGAAATGCATTGCCTATTCTATGTCATACCACATCCATTAAAAGAGATATTTTGGATCTCCATATTTTCCAAATTATCGTCTGCAAAAGAGTTACACGCTCCACAAAGGACCCTCATGTCAGTGTTTAGTCATAGTAACGGTCGCTGTTACGCCTGGCCTCTTCTGTCTGTTACCAGCGCTCTCAAGCGGCAAGGCATTCCTTGGGATAGGTTTTTAGAGTTCAATCTGGAATATTATTCCAGGCATCGGTCCAAAATTGTCCAATTTGGTCCAGTTTTGATTTAGGGCATGTAGGCAGTTGATTCGGCGAGTAATGGCTTACCCACATATTGTCTATGCGGTTCAAATGTAGCGATTTTGATGACCAGGGTAGTTGCTCATTCCCTTGGTTCTGTAAGTTATTTGCTATTAAAAGTGCTCTGTGTGAACCTGCAATCTCACCGTGCAACCTAAAATTGTTCCTAAGGTGCCCCCTATCAAATGATAGTCAAGTGGTTCCCAGATTATTCCTTTATTTGATCTGGTTCAGGTTTTCGTCAATGACTACCATTGGTGTTTTGGCACCAATGTGGTATCCACTCCAAATACTGACGCTGTCAATGACCCGTGTCACTTTAGACGCGGCACATGCTTCGTCGTAGGCCTCTTCTGGATGTCTGTAAACTCTGTTTTGACTAGTTGGGCGGTACAGGTGAAATCTGACCTCAATAAAGAAAGCCACGTGGTTTCAGTGTTCTACCCAGAAACGGTCATGGCCCCCAATTCATTAGAGAAACAGACGACGATGTTTTGCTGTTTACAGTGGGTACCTCGGAGGTTGTCTGGTATTCTAACCTGCTAAAACCAGTTTGGTGTTCGTTAAGGGCCTTGAAAAACGCATTTTGGTGGTAATTTGCCCTTTGTTCTGAACGGACTGGGTGGCTTTTGTTTAGTTGCAGCAGCATATCCCGAAAGACAGTGCGTCCTGTACCCCTGAGGTAAGATTTCGATGCATTGGGTGTGACATCTGTGTAGGTACATCAGTCTGGGCATTACTCTATAAAACTGTGCGGACCGTTCCGTTTGGCGCTTTAATCTGTCTGGTAATGTCTATCTTTATTGCGCCATTCTGCCACAAATTAACAAATTTGTAAA